GAGGAAAAAAAATGAAAAGGTAAAATGTATTTCTTATTATTTTTATTTTCTTTATATTTTTACAAAATATGGATGATATAAAATTTCTAATTTTTACAAACTTAATTTTCTCTCGATTATATTTGATCTCTTTCCCATTACTATTCATAAGCGTAAACACAAATACTAAATATATTATCCATAATTTCCCCTCCCTACCCAAACAAAGTACACATGTTAACTTTTCCTTTCATTATTTTCTAATAAATCAAACTAAACAAGGGAATCTAATCTCTTGTATCATCTCTTTCTTTAAAATTTCTACAGATGATCAAAGTGACTGATTTGAGCATTCACGTTTCAAAAGCACTTGCTCTTCATGCTTTAAATGAAAGACGTACAAATTACAATTCTCTTTTTAGGGTACTTTTACCACCAATATGGAACACCTTGATCCTTTGCTCTCTTAATTCCTGCCATGCTCATACTACCTGTTTAAAGTGGGGGTACTTATGACCCCTCTTTTAATTTTGTTTTTGTTTTTCTCTATCAATCTTTTCATTTATGATTCTCTTTATGCGTGTTGCATCACACTATGTTCATCTAACTCATATCTACTCTCAAGTCTCAACAACACAGGAACCTGAGATTCGAATTGCAATAAAATGTATTCTTGTTAGTCACATATCAATGGACAAATAATAGAAAACATTGTTTTTGAGCTCCGATAATGTATTTAATTAATATTTTTGGAAGAGTAATGTTACTATTATGTGCCTATTTGACTCCCAAACTTTACGATTATGAATAAAGTGTGGAAGGTGATTATTGATGTTGATAGTTTAGGATTTCACACGTGGGGTATCAGTGGTATCTTGGGCCCACAGAGTTTGTTTTTCTCTATGACTTTCAGTCCTCTGGTGTACCAAAAAGGAAGGGTAAACATGCTTACATACAATCAGTGATTTTTTCTGCATAATGTATAAATAATATATTTGAGATTGTTTTGGCCACGCATGCCAATGTTTGTGTGGTTTATTCGGGGACAAATAATGATAATAACACTACCCACAGAAAACATCGTACAAGAAGCTGTTAATTTTTCTTCTTCTTTTTTTATCATTTTTTTTTCTAAATTACATTTTTAGTTCTTTATTTTATTTATATATATATATATAATTTAGTATTTTATCTTCATATATATAAGTCATTTAGTTGTTTATGTTTATAAAATGACTTAAAATGAGTCTTTATGTTACATTTGTAAAGGTCAATGTTTAAACAACTTAAATTGACCACATTGTGATAAGTTTTAATGCAACTTACGATCGAATTCAACTTTATTATGAAAAATCAAATTAAATTATTTAAAAACATAAAATGTCAAAACCTAAACCTAACTAGTTATTATATAAGTTCTAATCTTTAATCTAGGCTCTTTAGTTAAGGATTATGTTTCGATTCTACTTTAAATATGAAATTATAATGAAAAATATTACTTTATTTTTATAAGAATCATATGGTACAAGGAGTTATATCTTATTATTAAAGAAAAAAAAATCAATCTAACCTCCTACACTAAGCTAAACACAATTAACTATAACTAAAAATGAGAGTCAAATTAATAAAGTAGCAAAAAAAATTTAATATGATCTTTTAGTTAATATAAAAATGTAATTATAATAGATAAAAGAAAGTAAAACTTTTTTGTCTAACTTTTATATAAATTGATTTGAAGTAATTTTTTTTAGAATAACATTAGCAAATAGAACATCATATTTTTGCATAGTTACTTAACTGCATGAAGTTATTAGCCTAAAAGTATTTAGGCCTTGTCCATTGAACTGGAACCGTCACCTACAATTTAACACCTTGAACTTGTAAAATAATTTGGCTAATACTAGTAGTGTTAGAATTTGTTTTATCTTTAAGATTAGAACCATCACCTATGATTTTAATACTGACCATTATTACCTTATTAATTAACAAGTTATTTATTTTATTTTAATGCACTTTAGAAGAGTTAAATTCTCGTGAATTAGATTTACTAATTTTGAGAAAATATTTAACTTAATTATTTCAATTTTTATGAATTAAAATTTAATCCTCTATAAATCACTTGAAAATTTAGAATATTGAATATCTCACCCATAAACAAACTAATTGTTACAAATCTAAAATAGAGTCCAATGAATATAATTTACTTTAGTGCATGTTGCAAACATGTTTTTCAACATAATTTTTTCTTCTCTCCAATTTACTTTTTTTTATAGATAGAATTCTCTCCAATTTTCTTGAAGCAACTATTTCTTTCTTTCCATATCATTTATTAACAACTCATATACCGAATTTGTAGAAGAAAATTTGAATTTAAATTTGTAGGAGATGAGAACTTTAAGTGATTTTTTTTGTTCATTATAAAAGTACAACAAAAACAAATAAATGAACATTAACTCCTAATAAAAACAGCAATTTGCATGTGTCTGCTATTAATAACTAGATAAGGTCGTAGGGACAAGATTTCCAAACAAATAAATATATATTATTGGAGGCTCTTTGTCATTCAATTTATGTACTGATTTCCCTCCTTTAAAATATGTTGAAAAGAGAGTTATCATTTTTCATCCATGAATGTGAGAATAAGATTAATGAGTGTAGTAAAGATGTCAATAAGGGATGGCAAAAATACCCGTATCCACGGGTATTTGCGGGTAAAATCCGTTACGGATAATAAATAGATAGGCTAATTAGGTACCCGCAGATAATGGGAACGGATAAATTTTTTACCCGTTTATAAACGGGGCAAGGGTGGGTATGATATCCATACCTGCGGGTACCTGTTTAATAATATTTCTTAAATATCCTAATTATCCTTGTACCACATAACCTTAAAACTACACTCTCATCTTTTTTTCTTACAAAAGTGAGGTTAATGAAGTTACCAACATGTGTTAAGCATGTTATAGAATTATGTTGGATATAATTTGATTAATTTTTTATCTTTGATTGGACCAATAAAATTTATGTATTTTAAGTTGTTTACTTTCGTTTGGAATTATGAGATTGAATTATTGTAGCTGTGTGATAAGACTTTAACTTACTTGTGAGATTGATGTATTTTAAGTTATTGATTATCTTGCATTTTTATTATTATTTCAACAAAATTAACGTTAAATACAAGTTCAAAATTAACATTGAATTTATATTTTTAATATTTCAATTACATTAAATATAAACTTAAAATTATTTGTAATATAATTTTTTTAATTTCTTAAAAAATTTATAAATATTCATGAATATCCGTGAGTATTCAAGAAATTCATGGATACCCGCTTAATGGATACCCACACGGATATGAAGTGGGTATGGGACCAATTTTCTTCTAGCGGGACGGGGGCGGGTTTATTATTACCCGCTCTTATGGGACCCCATTGCCATCCCTAATGTCAACCCAAAATAGGCTCTAAGAGGAGTTTGATAGATGTTAAATAATTTACTTCACAAATGACTCTCATATTATTACATGTTTAATTTCACATGTTCTACAACCTCAATACTTTAAGTGCATTTAAGTACATATTTGATTTCACATTCATATTTAAGTTCAAACAAAAATTACATCAAAATTAATATAAAATAATTAATTATTAATTTCATCTATCTATATTGAATTAAAATTGTTGTAAATAAAAATATACACTAAATCTTCAACAAAAAATTTAGTTCCATAATTGCCCTAGTTAAAGATCTTAATTACATTATTAATATAAATTTTAAAATGTTATATTATTTTAATATTTTTAATATAACTTGTAAGCATAATTTCCTTTCACCAAGTACGTTCATTTATACAAGAAAAATAATATTCAATCTCAACTTCATGAATGAACTAGAGGTCAAACAAATTAAATACAAATGTCAAATTATTTATATTAAACACCTTTACTTTTATTAATTTAAATAATTGAAAAATTAAATTTCATACCGCAATCTTGACGCACACTATTTTATATAAGGACAACTCACTGTTTTATATAAGAGAAGCCTTTTGTTGAAGTATTAAAGTGCAACTTCGATACTATTGTTTTTACTAATTTTAAATTCTTTTGAACTTTAACCGATTGGTATCAAAGCAATATTACACTTTAAAAGTAGAGACAATAAATTTATTTATACATTAACATGAGCCACATTTATAAATCTTACACAAGTTTTAATTTTAATTTGATTGTGAACAAATTGTCAAAGTTATTACATATAAAAAAAATATTAACAATAAAATTAATCCTACTTTCTTTTAATCCTATTTTAAGAAAGTGTGAAATTTTAATTATACTATCAAATATATTTTTATTTATAGCCGTGTCAATCAAGTCTAAATTTTATACTAACATGCATATTCATAAATTTATATCCTTTTATGCTGACTGTATTATTGAACTAGACTTATTATTATTATTATGAATGCATATGATTTACTTTATTTTTAAAATAAATTTTTATTTAAATAAAATTAAATCATTGTTTATAAATAAATTCAAATTTTCAGTTTTAAACACATTGAGTCGGATAAGTTCATTTTAGATTTGAAATGCCAATTGATCATTATCCATCAATTATTGATTCACCTAAAAAAATCAGACGACCCACCCAACTTCTGCCATGCTAGTGTTATTTACCAATTTGACGAACAAAATCATTTCACTTGGAATATATCCAAAATGATCTTAAAGGCAGGGAAGGAGAGAACTGTAATTTGCAAATACGTTAATACCCCTGTAGGAAGGGAATATTAAGTAGTACAGTAGGCACATAGTACTCTTTTGTAGTTTTGCTGCGAATTACTTTTCCTTGTTAAAGAATATTGAACAACTCAAGTTTGCAAAAAGCTTTACTTCCTATATTGTATTCAGTATTGAACGAGATCTTATACAAATCAAAGCGTTTAGCTTATGAAGAATGAGGTTAGATCATGGTTATTTCACCCAAAGAAAAAAAAATAAAGATTACGCTTTACCCAGTTAAACCATGTTGATTGCTCAAGGCAATGAAACAAATGATAATCTTAACATTCAATAATCTATTGATGAAAAGTTTGAAACCTGAGGTAAATCTGCAGCGTCTACATCTATGCCCTAGAGGCCTAGACCCTGGTCCATTCCATGAGTTAGAGATTTTCTTTGTTGTTGTTGTTGGAAAGTGTCCCTCCCTACTAATCCTAATGGTGGTGGTGATATATGCAAATATTCATTGCACATGTTCCCTGCTGGGTCCATGCACATAACAAGGTTCAGAAGAAACACAAACATCAGAGCTTATTTGAATTGTCCTTGCTACCACCCATTATAAAGCAGACTGCAGAGCAACTTAATATGCTTTCCAGTCAAACAACATAGTGTGCAAATCTGAGACATGTTTTTTGTTTTTTTTTTCTTTAAACTTTTCTTCAAGGGGAAGAAAGAAGCATATATAAAAAATCTAGCAAAGCAAAGACACAAATCCTACTGTGGTCCCCCACATAACACAATAACATCACAACTTTTGCAAAAGAAAATCACCCCAGCCACAAACACACTGATCTTTATCAACAAGTCTCTCTTGGCCGTATCCACCAGCTCATAATAACAATAGAAAAAACATCATTCATCTGCCAAGGATAAAGGAGACTACATAAGTACAAATAATTTTATTGTAGGTAAGCATGAACTGGAATATTAAAAAGGGAATGATAATGAGGGAAGAAGAAGAATAAGCAGGATCATCACCTGTTGGGATTCTGGAGTTGGAAGCAAGATCTAGCCAGGAATCTGTTGTGTTCTTTGGTGGCCACTCCCCAAAGAAACGGTGGAGGGGTCTCTGACTTGTCTCAGCTTCTTTCTCTTTGCTTGGTCTTGTTGATTTGAAGTCAGTTCCCAGAACAAAACAGTGTTGTTGCTCTTGCTGTCTTGGGGTGTTGTCATTCATGTTCTGAAAGTTGGTGTTTGTATAGGACTTGTAGGAGCTCATTGATAGTTGCTGATATGAGTCAGTATAGCTCCTAGCTGATCCCGAAGCTTCTGGGAAGAAAGCTCTCTCATCCACATCCTCCCTTGTTCCATGAACATGCCTGCTGTCAAGAATCAACAAGTAGAATACTGATCAACAATAACAAAATAACAACAAAGTCCTGTTAACTAAATAAGGTGGACTATATGGATTACACAATCACATTTGACAAAGTTTGTGTTAACTAAATAAGATGGACTATATGGATTACACAATCACATTTGACAAAGTTAACAAAAGAACAAAATGAAAACAAAGTGTGTTTTTTTCTTTCTTTCACATACCTATAATCCTTTTCATCATGAGAATAAGAGCCAGAGTCCATGAAAAGCTGGTGGGTGGTGGCATCTTGAGGTGGAAAATCAGTATCTGGGGGTCTGGAGGAGTTTGATTGGGAGTAGAAGAAGGGGTTGAGAGAAGAGTTTTGGTAAGATTGGGGAAAGGGTTGAGACTCGCAGGATATAGAAGAGGGCAAAGGAGAGAAAGGGAAAGATGAGGGTGAAGTTATGTTGGGGTTGCTGTTGTTGTTGTTCAAGGAAAGGTTTCTGCTATAGGAAGGGATTGTTTGGGAGGTGTTTGTGGCGGTGCTTGTTGCTGAAGAAACTTCCACAGGCTTTCTTGAACGGTTTCTGCCTCTGTGCATGTGTCTTTCACAGTACTTGGAGTCTGGATATGCTTCCTTTGAGCATCTCCATTTCTTGCCATCTGTTCTTCTGCACCTTCCTGGCTCTGGGTCTACTTTTCTGCCAAATCCCATTTCAAAACATCCCCACCCAACTGCAGCCAGAGTTATGACAACAAACCAGGCTCTAAATTTTATTTGTCCCTCATAAAAAGTAGACATATAATAATAACACCCGCTTGTGCATTTTAAAAAGAACGAAAAAAATTATCCATGGCCTGAAGTTAAAATCTATAACAACATGCTACTAGTCTAGCAAAAACAAACACTTACTTGGATGGTGTGGGAAGAGCCTTGAAGAAATTGAAGAGTCTAGACTTCTTTTAATAGAGTAGACGAGATCTGGTGGGATAGGTGTTCCTGTGACCATGTATTTAAAAACAAGAGCCTGTTGTTCAAGTTCTTGCCACTGAGTTGGTGTGAAAGGGGACCTGTTTCTTGCACTTGCACTAGCACTCATCATTCTGAGACAAATAGAAGGAAGCGTGTGTGTTGCTCTAAATAGCGTTGAAGAGCAACAAGATATAATAAGATTTTCAAAGTTTGAAGTAAAAGACTAAAGAGAGTTTAATTTTTCTCTAGATGGGGCTATAGTAATTTGGAGTTTGGAGGGTGATTTTTTGGTTAAAGGGTAACAGATTCTTCTCCTGTGCATGGATAATACTAATGGCTGTGATAGTCTGATGATGCTTCTGGCTTTCTGCCACCTCTCTCTATTTCTCTAATGTGCTGGATGGGTGAGTGAGTGAGTCTGCTCTTATAATGACTGCACCTCTGTTGCTTCTGTTTTTTTCTCTGCAGCTGCCTTTGTTGCTGCCCTTGTCTCTGACATCTTTACAGAAATCCATAAACAAATGTACAAAGGAAAGAAGAAAAATTAAATTCAAATGCATGTTAGTCCATGCATCTTTGGTTTTGCTGTCTCCACATCACTCATGGAAAATAGTGCCGTCCGATTATGTGAAGTGTAAGCTGCCGAGCAATAGTGGCTTGGCTATATCATCAATCTATCTCTTTTGCAATCCGAGGGAGGGCATGGTAGGGTAACTTTTGAATATGAGAAAAGTCTCGTACGTGTCATTTTTAATCTCTTTTGGCTTAACCATGCGTGGCATTATCTCATTGATAGATTTGGAGGCCATGGCTAGAGCTGAATCCTACTTTTTTTGGCCACGGATTGATGCTTTCTCCTTTTTCACATTTTCGCACCCCCAAGCATCTCACTTTCATCGGTGGAATTTGGGTTACAGTCAATTTGCCCTTTCACTCTCAATTGCCCACCGTCATGTCAATACCTCATCATAACCCTTTACATCTTTCCTCCTTAATCATTTCCATCACCACCACCTTAATACACCAATCTTAATTTGTTTTCTGCAAACTACAAATGATCCAATGTAATGTTGATTTTTGGTTTAGCATCTTCACCATTGTTTAGATTCACATCAATTTTAATCGGATGTAGATCAGTGAAAGAAATAATTACTTACATTAATTTTATTCAGTTCTTTCTTAAACGTGAATCATAAATATAAAATTAAACATACACTTCATCTAGAATTATCAATCTAATGATTGAATCATTGTTACCACATATCATGTCTTATTAGTATATTGTAGTGATTTGTTAATTTAAGCTTGAGAGTCCCCCAGTTTGTGGTAACTAATGATGAAAGGGAGAGATAGATGACAAATTTGCAATCTGAATGAACATAATACGAAGATGGCAGGGAGGGAAAGGAGGATGAAAGGACTTTTTGAGTTAGTTTATGTGGTCTTTACTATTGAAAATTAGATAAACTTTATGAAGTTGAGTGATGCATGTTGGGACAGTGGAAGTAAAAGACTATCGGGTAGAAGGAGGTTCGGAGTTGTTTGGTTGCAATTGAAAGCACTTGTCTTTGTCCGAAGCGCGTTGGCAGGAGCAGGTGTCAGGAAAGTGCACTCTGAGGTTAAAACTGTTCACACTCTGTTGCTCTGCCCCAAAACACATGCTCTCACCTCCTTTATTTTGACACACCTAACTGAGCCTTTCATTCATTAACCCAAAAATTTCCTCAATTACAGCTCTTCTCTTTCCATATTTGTGATTTGTGGAGTCTTTGCTGCCTGACTCGGTGCAGCCTTAAAAAGATCACCTGGGAGCCTCTTTC